GCCTGCTATCCGCAGTTAGGGTAGCTGTAGGGAATCGGGTTAGTACCGGGCCTGTATTTTCCCGGATTTGCAGATATGTCCCTCACGAATTACCCTCGCAGGTAGGTCTCTCGGTTAGCCCTCAGCCAACAAAATTACGAATCTGTCCTACCTATAGTACAGCCTCGATAGAGTGAGGCTACAGGCGACCAGAAAACAGCAAGTCATTGCAGACCTACCCTCCCCCGGAGCGAGGACCTCCGAGCTAGGGGCGTAGGGGTGCAGAGCGCCGAAGGGATACCCCCTTATGTGTTGCCTCATATTTGAGGATGATAGACTTGGCTGTCTTCAGAAGTTCCTTGCGAGTAAATGAGTGGTCCTCAGTGTGTAGCTGGTACAAAAACTTCACAAGGTACTCCTTATCAGGACCTGTACCTTACTCATCCTCCACAGATTCGACCTCATACCCTTTGCCAGGGATAGGGGGACCGAACTGTGGGGGCCTGTCTGGAAATGCATCAGCTGGAGTAAATGGCAACAACTTAGATGCATGAAAGACAGGGTAGGTTTGTAGATGCAGAGGGACATTCACTGAATAGGATGGTCCAAATGGATCAGCTCCCACTGTATCTAAGACCTGCCATGGACCCATGTATCGTGGCAACAACTTAGGCGAAATGTCCTCCTCTCGCGAGAGCTCAGAACTGAGTACCCACACCCAGTCGACTGTGCGAATAGTAGAAGGACGCCTGTGCTTATTAGCCTGCTGAATCATAGCCTTCTGGGCTTTCAACAGGTTAGCACAGGCGCGCTCTATGTCCACACGGTAACGCCTGGTGAACTCTGCAGTTCCAGGTGTCAGCGTAGGGGTAGCCTTGTCGATGATATCATCGAGAGGCTGCCGTGGTTCACGACCCCAGTGTAACCGGTAGGGTGTGAAACTAGTAGAGGAGTGTACAGACGTGTTATACACAAGCTGTGCACGGCCCAAATGGAGATCCCAGTCCTGCTGATCTGGACTGATCACAGGACGCAGCAGCTGGAAGAGAATCTGGTTCATCACTTCAGCCTGACCATTGGCTTCAGGATGACGACTAGATGTCATATCCAGGCGTGAATGAAGGTAATCCCTGCAGTAGGATTGCCATTCATTGCTGCAGAATCGGGGATCTCTGTCACTGACGATAGAGGTGGGCGGTCCATGATGTGTAACCCACCTGTCAGCAAATGTCGCGTGAACGGCTGGCACACGAGCCTCAGCTGGTAAGGGGATGAACTCTGCATATTTGGAGAACCGATCCACACATACCATGACCTGACGCATACCACGAGGTGTAGTCCTACCCAAGTCAGTAAAATCAATAGACACTGACTGTGCAGGTGCATCAGGGATAGGTAGGGGTTTGAGTAGGCCAAGAGGAGGTCGACGTACAACCTTGTTCCATTGGCATAACTCACAGGTTTCCACATAGTGCAACATGTCACTCCTCATCTCCTTCCAGAAGAATCGCTGCGACAGGGCTGCATAAGATTTAAGGGCCCCAAAGTGACCACGAGCATCATGACACTCTGACATCAGAAGTGTCCTCAGCTTGCGGTCCTGGGGAATGCACAGACGCTCCTCACCTCTGCTGCGACCAGAGTATATCCTGGTTCAGAGGCAGGATCGTCCTGGAGATTCCTCACAATAGGCCCAAAGATCTCATACTGGGGCAACAACTGGGCAATGGTCTGACGTGTCCTCTCTCCAAATGAGTGAGTGAAGGAGATCAGAAAAAGAGCGTCAGGCCTACAAGAAAGGGCATCTGCTACTCAATTGTAGCAGCCCTTCTTGTGTTTCAGTTCAAAGTCAAACATGTCAATGAACTGAATGTAGCGAGCAAGCTTGTCATTCAGCTCTCCCTGGGACTTCATCCACTGAAGGGTGGAGTGATCTGAAAAGATCTTGAAGTGCCTGCCCAGGAGAAAGTATTTTTAATGCTTGAGCGCCGGCACAAGAGCATAGAGCTCTTTCTCATAGGTAGAGTCCTGCAGCTTTTTAGTCTTGATCTTCTTGCTCATATACTCAATGGGCTGCAGACCATTCCCATCATCCTGCTGAAGTACCGCCCCTACACCATACTGACTAGCATCAGTAGTAAGCACAAAAGGCAGGGTAGGGTCAGGTAGCTTGAAGACAGGGGCACGAATCAAGGCCTCCTTGAGACGTGTGAAAGCCTCCTGACATTCTGATGTCCAAAGAAAGGAAGGTCTTTCTTTGTGAGATCAGTCAAGGGAGCTGCAATAGAAGAGAAGTTCTTAATGAACTTCCTATAGTACGATGCAAGCCCCAAGAATGACCGGACATCACGAATGTTAGCAGGTCGCAGCCAGTCCTGAACTGCAGCAACTTTCGTTGCTTCAGGAGCCAACCCCTCTCCAGAAATGACGTGACCCAGATAGACTACAAAGGGAACCCCAAAAGAGGACTTCTCCCTGTTGATCTTATACTAGTTAGCACGCAAGGCCTGGAGGACCAGAGCCAGATGCTGCACATGCTCCTGAACAGAACGACTGAATACCAAGATATCATCAAGGTAGACAACTACGAACTTGTCCAGGTAAGGCCTCAGTATGCGATGCATCTCTATTTGGAAGGTGCCTCGCGCATTGCAAAGACCGAATGGCATAACCAAGTACTCATAAGTGTCATACCTGGTTCTGAAGGTTGTCTTGTGGACATCGCCTTCAGCCATCTCAATCTGGTGCTAGCCAGATTTGAGATCGATCTTGTTAAAGATGGTACAGCCCTGCACCATGTCCAACAGATCATCAATGCGAGGAAGGGGCTCTGTAGACTTCCTCGTGATTTTGTTGAGACCACGATAGTCCACGCACATCCTGAACTCACTATTCCCCTTTGGAACAAAGAGGACTAGTGCCCCAAACTCAGATGTGCTGGGCCTGATCCATCCCTTGCTGGTCAGGGTCTCTAACTGTTTCTTGAGCTCTTCAAGTTCAGCAGGAGACATCCTGTAGACTCGGCCCTTGGGAGGGTCCGAACCAAACAGGATCTCAATCTTATGTTTGGTTTGCCTATGGACAAGTCCAGTAGGCTCCTCCATAAGATCTGAGAAGCTGTCCACTACCTGCTGAATCTGAGAGGGACAGGGAGCAGTCTCCACGTCAGTCTGTTTGACAAAAGCCACGAACAGATGGGCGTGGTCAGTCTGGCGTGAGAATCGCAAAAATCTGTGAGCACTCATGCAGTAACAGTTGCTGGCCGGATGGTACTCGTCAGCGAGCATGCAAGGGCGATATACCCCATGCCGGTCAGGCAACTCAACCCTAGGAATCCGCTAGTCGATCCTAGGATTGGTGGCTCCAAGCCACTGCATAGAGAAGACAAGGTCAAAGGGGACGTTAGGAAACACATAGAAGTTCAGGCGGTGCCTGACTTCTCCCTGCTTGTCAAAGGACACAGGTAGGCCCTTGACAACAGTAGTGATCCTGACTGTGGAGGAGTCTCCAATGCGCACCTCCAAAGGCTGTCGCAATTTCACCAATCTCTGGTCCAAGTGCAACTTGCTGACTGCCTTGGGAGAGATGAAGTTGCGAGTAGCCCCACAGTCTAAGAGCCCTTTGATCTTGGCTCCCAAGATGAAGGGTCGAAGCAGGATGAGTTCAGACTTATGCTTCTTCTTCTCTTGCAAGGACAAGAAAAGATCAGCAATACACTGAGCATCCTCCTCCTCCCACGTCTCATCCAACTTAGAGTCTTCGAAAGTGAAAGACCCTGAAGATGCAACTCTAGAATATGAGTCAGCGAGAGAATGTGAAGACTCACCCCCATCAGAAGATGAATCAGCACCGGTGGAAGGAGCTGTTGCTTCCACCTCCCTCTGCTCTAGTTTTTTTAACTAGAGCCGCCTATAGACCTGCGAGGCATGCTGGGACAGTCCTTGAGGAAATGGTCCCCCTCGCATCTCAGGCAGACCCCCTTATCCTTCCTCTTCCTCCAAACCCCCTCCTGGATCCTGAGTGCATGCCAGGGGAAGATGGAAGGATCAAGTGGGTCAGCTGGCCATCGGACGTCTCGTGGCAAAGGCACTCTTTGGGCACTAGGGGAAGAGGGACGTCCCTTACTCTTCCCCTTGCTGCTGGTTGGTGCTTTCTGGGCCTGGGATTTTCCTTTGGTCAGGCTCATCAAAGCATCAGCCAGGGCAAGAACAGGATCTGCAGCTGATGATGATGCAGTCCCAGGTGGAGGGCTCCCACCCTGGGATGCTGCGTCACTATCAGAACCAGACGCAGCAGCAGCAAACAGGGCACCCTTCCTCCTTCTTCGCCCTTTGGAGGAGGGTCCCTTCCTTCCTTCAGAAGGTCCTTCCTGGACATGGAGTTTGGACTCCAAGTCCAGGGCTGCTCTGCCAAAGGACCTCCAGTCCTTGTGGCCCTGAGAGAAAAGGGCAAGCTGGTATTGATCAGGCGCTGCCCTGAGGAAATGAATGAGCAGATCCTGCTCACTCATCTCCAACCCTGGAGTCAATGTCAGACTCTCAAAGGTGGAATACAGTTTGGACAAGGAGCCGTCAAACTTTTTCTAGCCCAGGCGCAGAATTTTATCTGCAGTCTTTCTCGCTTGCTCCTTGTCTGCAAACCGGTCTTGCAGCGCCTGCAGGAAACCAGCCACACCCCCAGTCTCTGCGCCCAATCAGACATTTCCATCCCTTGCTTGTTGGAGGTGGAGGTGCACCATTTCAGTGCAGTCCTCTCCAACCGAGCTAGGATGGCTGACACCTTCACATCCTCGTCGCATTTAAACCCACTCAAGTAGGTTCTCCGCACAGTCACCCAATCTGCAACATCACCTTAGGATCTTCTCCTGAGAACATAGGTGGAGGCGTCAGCTTGGGCCGCTGCGGCTCAAATGGGGCTGAGGATTGAGAGGGTGCCGTTGACTTGGGTGTAGAGCTTGGAGATGTTGGTCTGGATTGTGGTTGTGTCTGAGGACCTGTCTGAGAAGGTCCAGGAGGGGGAGATAAGGTTAGAGGAGGAGGGATCTTCAAATGTGTGAAGATCAGATCCAATTTGGAAGAAATGTCATCCAACTTTTTGGAAAAAGTTGAGTGGCTGTTCTCCAGACTGGTGATCCGGTCATCCCAATTAGTAAAATAAGACCGGTTGATATCATCCTGCAAAAGGACGAACTCAGCGATGTCTTTATTATACTGACTGGAAGAACCGCTCACCCTGACCTTCTCCACATCTGTAGTAAGTAGTTTCCTCCTGGCCTCCTTCTGAGATGCCTCTTCTTTTTTCTGCAGCTCAGCCTTTAGAGTTTCAACTGCTTTGGCCTGCTGGCGGAGTTTCTCCTCCTGGGCCCGCAGTTCAACCTCTAGAGGGTCAGGCGGGATCTGAGGCTTCACATCAGAAGCCTCTCCCTTCTCAGTGTCTGGCATTTTCAGAACCACAAAACAAACAATAAAATAAACACACAACAAAAGAAGACAGACAAGGGAGTAACAGGAACTGAGTTTTCCCTTCAGTACACACTCAGTTGCTGTCACCTGACTGTACACAAAGGTTGGTTAGTTTGAGCAAGTGAGTGCTCAGTCTCAGCAGACTGCTTGAGGGTCAGAGTCAGTTCAGAGAACACTCGGGCAAAAATCCATTTCACGATTTTCCACTCACTGACCTGACACTTCAATTGCATGCAATAATTGCAAATCTTGAATTAACGATTTATCAGGATGCAGTCTTGGACCGATTAGTATTGATTAGTAATCAGACAGAGTGAATCAAAGTGGCTAACAAACATCTACTGATGACCAAGATGTAACGATTTACAAGGGAACCCTATTTTTAGACTTACCCTACTGACTTCACCACTGGATGACCTTGAATGCCATACTGGGGTATGGCGAATTACATAAATCACTGTAACTGACTCAAAACATTAAATTTGACTGTGCGATTTCAGACAATGACATAATATTGAATTGTGATTTACCAGGGATTGACAAAATTGCATTCTGACGGACAGAATTAAAGATACGACTGACCCTAGTCTACCCAAGCTTCAGCTATGGCAGCGCATAATTCAAATTGTCATTATCATTGACAGACAGACCCTGAACAATCCAATTCACAGTGAAATATGAGTCGCAACACTGTAAGCAGTAGCAGATGAAAGTTGAGTCAGAAGGGAGGTCAAACAGGGTTAGTAGAAGTCAAAGATGAAAGGTAGGGGAAGATGGCTATGGCTGTCTGACAGTCTGAATTTCAATTTGCAACTGCACACACTCTGACATACCAATTTTCGCTATTCTAAAAATAACCCGAGAATCGCTACACACAGTAAAGTAAGGAACACACTTACTTCAGGGTCAACTCTGAAGAAGATGGATGAAACCCTGGCTATGGCTGTCTGCACAGACCCCTCTCGCCACTTTCATCACCTGACAGTATACAGTGTTCCCACGTACAAAATTCTCCCAAACTTGGTGATCCCGTAGATAATCCTGAAGCGCTTCACCCTCAACTGACAGATTCAGTGAATCTGGACTCCCAGATGCAGATAACTGATGATCTCAGTACAACGCTGCTCCAACCTGCACTGCGCTGCTTGGAAATTGGGGTTTCTGACCCAATTCCAAAATCGCAATACTCTGGGATCTCTCCACTGACAATTGCCAATCCCCAGATGAATTGTCAGGCTAAAAATAGCCTCTCAGAGCCTTCCAGGCCTCTGAGTGTCACTCGCCAATCACCCTCTGTCTGTTGCTTCTCGCCACACACTCACAACCACCACCCTCACTGACAACAACCCTGAAGATGATAAATCGCCATGAGATTCAGCTTCAGTATCCCGCCAGATAGTGATGGATGCTCCAACTCATCAATCGCTTCACTGTCTGGATCCAATAGCTCCGATACCAACTGTTATGATTCTGGTTGTTCGTTGCCTGAAGGCCAACACTCACTCACATAGACTTCCGGATATGCCCATACATACACAGAAGGAAGGGGAGAGGATAGGAGTATCACACCGCACAGGGAGAGATAAACACAGCGGAAGACTTGACCATGCGATATGACAGGGTACACTGAATGTGCAATTCACTCCACTGAAT